TGCCTAGCAGGCATGAGGCACTGAGTTAGATTCCTAGCACCACATATAAATAAATAAAAGGTCCATCAACAACTAAAAAGTTCTTTTTTAAAAAGAAGATATCTGTAAAATGCAAATCTGATGTTGTTTACCTCCCTATACTGTCTGGTCCCTTCTTAACTACCTACTTCTTTAACCACCTCCTTCTAGCCAAAGAACTCCCGATTTTCTCTGCCATGAATGTGCTTCCTGTCCCTCTTCTTTAGTTATGATTTTCTGACCATTCTGTCAATCTCAGTTCAAGCTTATTTTCCTCTCAGAAGCCATTCTGGACCCTCTTGATTAGCTTTGAGATCTTTTATAAGTTTAGCTGCAGTTTGATCTTGTGTGATTATTTCGTTGTCCTTTGTTAGACTACACGCTGCATGAGGACAGCAGCCATGTCTCTTTTTGCTCATTTGCCCATTTTGTCCCCCACCCCAGCTCAGTGCTGGTGCGGTGAAGTGTTCCATAAATGTTGAAGGAAAGAATGAAGGCCCCACATTCCACACTGGGAGTCCACAAGGGCTTAGTTCTTATCTTTTCCATAAAAAGTGAATCGTTGGCTTTGCTTGGTTGAGTTTTTTTTTTTTTTTTTTTTTTTAAGCAGCTGGAGAGGTATAACATTACTTAAGGAAGCTGTAGCTGAATGGTTAAAAGTTCAGGGTATGAGATAGTGGAATGAGATGGACATCATTCCCTGGGTACATATATGATTGCATATATGGTGGGATGTTACATCGTGTACAACCAGAAAAATGAAAATTTGTGCAGCAACAGTGTGCAATAAATCAAAATGCAGTCTGCTGTCATGTATATCTAATTAAAATTAATTATTTTTTTAAAAAAGTTCAGGGTATGGAGTCAGACAGACTTGTTGAGACTGTTTCCTCACTGTGACCCTAGCATGTAGACTTAGCCTCTCTGAGCATCACTTCCTGTTACTACTTCCTTCACTGGGTTGCTGTCAAGTTTTAAAGAAAGAATCACTGGACAGCATTTAGAATAGTACTGATATGTAGCCAGTGCTGTCTTCCCATTAGGTTTCCCTGCCTTTGGGTGGGGGAATAAGACAGAGCCGTCGTCTCATAACAGCATTGTGCTTGTCCTGGGAACGCAGAGGAAGTAAGGAGACATGGCTCCAGCCCTTGGGGAGATAGATCACAGTTCGTCCTCTGGAAAAAGGGAGTAGGAGGGATATTTGCCGTCTACTATTCAGGACTTGACCTGAATAACATAATGTGTATAACGTGCTTGAAAATGCTTTGTAGAAAAGCAAGGATCATCATAAAGAGTGCTGAGAATTTTTCATACTCACCTTTCCATTTTATTCTCTCCAGTTCTTTCTTCTATTTTTCTTTATTTGTATGGAGCAGCCTGCATTGCCACAGTGAGCTTTACTGTCTTGAAATAATACTGTGAAGGCAAGGTGCTGGATGGTCTTCTAAGAGCAGTAATGGTTTACAGAATATTGTTGCTAATAAGAGCACAGAGAAGTTAAGTAACTATTCAAGGTCACACAGTTAATAAATCTAGTGTAAAAGCTGGGCTTGAACCCAGATCCAACTGACTCTTAACCACATTAAGGTTTGTACATTCTGAGCCACCTGGAGGTGAGAGCCCTTTAGGTGACCCATGATTAAGCTCCAGGTGGAAGAGTGCTGGGCAGCTTTTCCACAAGACTGTTCTTTGCTGTTGATTTGAGCAAAAGGAGGCATAGACGTCATGAGCTCTTGCGTTGGCTTGAGGCTGCTGTGTCTGAGATGGGATGCTGGAGTGGGCAGGATAAAAGGCCTAGGGCAGACAGTGATGTTGAGGAGATGTTAGAGATCATCTTAACTAGCCTTCGCACCACCAACTTGCCAAAGTTCTGTTCCTCTATAGTGACAGAGCTGGGTCCAAACCCAAGTCTGCCAGGTTTCTTTTCATACAGCAGGTCTTGTTGAAGGGGCTGTCCTCACATTCACATCTCGCACCCCCCAGTCCTTCACTTCTTCCTTACTAATGGCACCCAAGCCCACTTCCTCTCTTCCTAACTACCCATCTTCTTTTATTCCCCCTGCGGCAGAAAATGACAGGTCCCATAACCAAGACCAACCCAGGCAGCTGGGGGACTCTTCATTTGAGGGAAGCAGAACACAGGGAACTAGGTACACTGGGTTAAAATGTGTTTGAGGAACTGGATTAAAGGATGCCACCAGCATTCTGCTTTCCCTGGGGAAGTGGAGGCGGAGCAGCAACGCTGAGTGGGTCTTGTTTAACCAGGCCTCCTGTCTCATGGCAGAAGAGCCAAGAGAGAAGCTGACAACAGTAGGTCAAGAGGACGCCACTTGTTTAGGTTTCTGACGCGTTCTGTTGCACGCCTCCCGGGGGCGGGACCAGTTGGCCACCTGGTGGTCAGAGCCCGGACCTCATCTGTTGAATTTCCCCCTGGCAGAAGTGTCACTGGATTCCTTTATGTGCTGGCTGTAGGCAGCACAGCCTCTTTTGGAAACTGTGTGGACACTTTGAACTGTGCTTTTGCAAGCCAGTGCCAGAAGAATGGCATTTGCAGGGCCTGGTAAACTTGGGAGAAACTTTTTGATATCTATGTCAAAGGAGTGTTTTGCTCTGAAGTCAGAGAGGCTGGCTATAGCAAAAGCAGCACGTGTAGTTCTGTTTTCTCCATCTGCACTGGGCCTTGAGGAGGCCTCCAACTGCACAGCCACCTGCTAGTGTCTTTTTGCTTTTGGTGAGCTGGGGAGGGTGAAGAAAAGGAGAACCCTTTATTAGGCATTATAATCAGAGTGCACAAATAGCCTCTGTGTTTTTTTCTTCCTAAACTCCTTTATACCAGAATATGAGACTTTTAAAGACTAAGACACATGTGAGGGTATGTGGTAAGACCTGTATTAGGCCAGGGATCTGGTGTTCAGCCCTGATACTTTTCTCTTCTCCCTGTGGCTTCAGGTGACTGTCTTGTGGCTACCTGGCCATTAGCCCTGTGGACGGTCACTGGAGTGCTTTTTTATGTCTGTGGCCAAGTAGACAGTGTAGTAAAGCCAGACACAGAGAGGAGAACCCAGCCATGTGACTTGAGTTTCCACTGGCAGCCATCCGCCCGGATGTGCACCATGGGCAGGGTCAGCTTGAGCAGTTGCAAATACAGTCCTGTGGTTTGAGTTTCTTTGCTGAGCAGGGTTTTCCTTCTTTACTCTGAGCTTCTTGAAGATAGGAAGATGAAGATACGACCATTGTCTTCATCTTTATATGTCTTTTACCTAACATAATGGCTGACACAAAGACTATGTCCAGTAAAAGAATAAAGCTGTGTTGAAAGCCAGCTATAGCAGATGACTTATAAGTTTCATTATATGCATGAAGCCAGGCATGGTGGCACGTACTTACAGTCCCAGCTACTCAGGAAGCTAAGGCAGGAGAATGTCTTACATGCAGGAGTTCAAGACCAGCCCAGGCAACACAGCGGGACCCTGTCTCTAAAATACCAAACTAGCTAGGTGCAGTGGCACACATCTATAATCCCAGCAGCTCAGGAGGGTGAGGCAGGAGGGCTACAAGCTCAAGGCCAGTTTCCTCAACTTAGACCCAGTCTCAAAATAAAAGCTGGGGATGTAGTTCAGTGGTTAAGCAGCCCTGGGTTCAGTCCACAGTTCTACTAACTACTAATTAAAAATATTAGGTGCATTATGTAGCTCCACGCCAATATTGGACTGAGGTTAGGGTTTCCTTATAGGTCATTTCATATCTTAAATGTGAACTATATATTAAAAACGTCCACCTCCATCCTCATCTCCCAGTGCTATGAATAGAATTTGGCAAACTGCTAGATGGTTACTCAGCAGTGTCCTTTGTGTAGCTGTCCCTGATACGGGACAGTATGAATGCTGGATCTAGTCAGGATTCTGAAAAGATTATTTGATAAGCAAAAATGTCTAGCAAGTTGAAATTAAACCAAGTCACCTGATTGGGTTGCTCCTTTTTTGAAGAATTTGAAGGTCAGATTTTTTAGAAATCCCTCTTTTGAATCTCACTGTAAATAACCTTGGCGATCATATGTTTGGAAAGGAGAGCAGAATGACTGACTAAATGCTAATCTTGGAGTCCTTACTGCATTAATTGCTCTAGGAAGTTGCACCGAAAAGCTAGTTTTATTTAGAACATACTACTAATTACAGAAGAATCATTACCTTCCTACCAGCTGAGTTTAACACAGGAACACAAAATGTTTCTGCTTGGAAGTAAAGAAAGTGAGGCCACCCTTTTCTGTCCTGTCTAAGGGGAGCCTCTTCTTTCTTTGTTGTTGTTGTTTATTTTTGAGTACTGGGGATTGAGCCCAGGGCCGCTTTACTACTGAGCCACATCCCCAGCCCTTTTTTATTTTTTCTTTAGAGACAGGGTCTCCCTAAGTTGCTGAGACTTACCTCAAACTTGCAATCCTCCTGCCTCAGCTTCCCAAGTCACTGGGATTACAGGCGTGTGCCACTGTGCCCAGTGGAACCTCGCTTTGTACCTTTGTGTGCCGGGTTCTCGTCCCCCTTGGTCAGCCTATTTGTTTTTCTTAACTTTGCTGTTATTGTGTGGTTCTTTTTAACTTTTTTCCTTAAGGAGTAAACACTGGTATAGTTTTGGGGGAGGACATGCAGATAACCAAGAGGGAGGGAGGTAAGAAGAAAAGTGGTGTTTAAAAGCTGTAGATTAGCTGGACATGATGGTGCACGCCCGTAATCCCACCGACTCGGGAGGCTGAGGCAGGAGGATTGTGAGTTCAAAGCCACCCTCAGCAATTTAGCGAGGCCTTAAGCAACTCAGTGAGACCGTGTCTCTAAATAAAACATAAAATAGGGCTGGAGGCTGAGGATTTGGCTCAGTGGTCAGGTGCCCCTGAGTTCAATCCCTGGTACCAAAAAATAAGTTACAGATTACTCTGTTGAAATGTTTCTTGATTTTTCTTTTTCTTTCTTTCTTTTTTTTTTTTTTTTTAGGATAAGGAAGCCTGTGTGGGTACCAACAATCAAAGCTACATCTGTGACACAGGACACTGCTGTGGACAGTCTCAGTGCTGCAACTACTACTATGAACTCTGGTGTAAGTCCTTGCCCAGGAGGTTCTTAGCATCCCCGGGTCCCGGTTACTGTCTCTGCTCACTGGGAAACCATGGGCTGGCCGGCCTTTTCTGATTCTCTTAGGGACAGTGTTGGTGAGTAGAATCTGGTTCTGGGTGCCAGAAGTGACTCCTTGGTAGAGGCGGTGGGTCTGGTGCTCTCTGAATGCCATGGGTTGAAGACATGGGAATATGGGTTTCTCCCTGGTGCCTTCTCCTATGTGTTGAGGACTTCCTCAAGCCAGTCTTTGCTAAATGAGGTTACTGCCACTGAACTGCTGTGAATGGCAGGTTGAGCTTTAGGTGGCCATAATGTCATTTTATTGTAGGATCCATTGAGACTTTCAGAATTCCCCATAGAGCTTCATAGAGCTGCCTTTGTTTTCTGAGGGTCCGTCTCAAAGCAATAGTCTTCCCCTAGGCCCTGGCCTGTGGAATATTCCTTGTAAAACGGAGTCCTGAGTTTCAGCCCCTTTATTCCTTCCCTAGTTCTTACACTGAAGGATCTGGAAGCTTCTTTCTTTCTTTTTCTTTTCTTTTTTTTTTTTTATATTTGTTTTTTAGTTTTAAGTGGACACAATGTCTTTATTTTGCATTTATGTGATGCTGAGGATCAAACTCAGTGCCTCAAGCATGCTAGGTGCGCACTCTACCACTGAGCCACAATCCCAGCCCTGTGGAGGCTTCTGCAGTGTATCTAATCTGTTACTGTCAGCTAAATGCCATGGCAAACAATCTTCGGCTTGCCATGGATTTGTTTGAGGTCAGGACCACTTGCCTTTTCCACAGTTGCCTGATGGTGGTAATGTTGTAGTCTTTGGGGAGCAACCTAGGGTGTCTTCAACTAACATAATTTGTACTCTGACTTTCCTGGAACTTAGGTGTAGGCTGCTCAACAAAAAAATGGGAGAATGCACTGGGTATGATGCACATGCCTGTAATCTCAGCTCCTAGGGAGACAGGCAGTAGGATTCTAAGCTCAAAGCCAGTCTGGGCAAACTGGTGAGACTCTGCCTCAAATTTTTAAAAAAGGGCTGGGATGTAGCTCAGTGGTAGAGTGTTTGCCTAATGTGCCCTGGGTTCAGTCATCAGAAGATGAAGGAGTTGTTAGGGCAGAGAAGCCCAAGGTACTGACCTTGCAGTTCTCCTAGGTATCTCTTGAGAGAGGAAACTGTTACCCCTGATTCTGAGCACCCATCCCTGCCTCCATCTGGAAACAAACTTTGGACTCTTCTGTCAAACTGTGTCACTACTCCTGCCATCACCCTGCCCTCTTTTCCTTTCTCTCTCCCTGTTTCCCCCACATCAGCAATATGACAGGAGAGCAGCTAGGAATGTTGTTTGCTCTGGCAATAAAACTGGACTCTTGTCTGGGAAGTGTCTCCCTGTGAAATGCACTTGTCGTTTATAGCCAGCAAGGGTGGGTCCTCCAAACAGAACCTCTCCCTTGCCCTCACCTTTCCCTTTCAAGGACTGAGAACTGCCTTCCAAAGGAATTCCAGGAGCAGTCCAGTGCAGAGGGTTCAGGGCTATGTCCCCACTAGGCCTGCATATATGCATACATAGTAACAAAGGAGGGCACAGAATTGTTGAAATTTTAGAAAGGGTAGGGCTGAGAAAATTGACCAAAGAACAGGACGTGCCAAGCAGGTGGACTGACTGTTTAAATGTTTTAAAATGCAGATAACCACAGAGTTCAAATTCCCCTCCCACCCCTTGATAAAACAAAAGTTGAAGCTGGGCTGCCAAAAAGCCACAGAACTACAGTTTGTTTTTCTGGGGCCCAGCCCAGGCAGCATCAGTTGTGGAAAGGAGTGGAGTTGCTGATGGCCCAGCTCAGATTGCTGGGCCATCAGCAGAGCAAAGTTTGGTCACCAAAGTCAGGGCTGGGCAACTGGGAGGGTGGTGGAGTCCCAGATGGCAGGGAGGTAGTCTGGGAAGCAGGTGCTTCACTCCAAGAACTTAAAGAAGGTCTGAGGAAGAGCTGGCTGATTCTCTGTCCGGTTACGATCAGGTGGGGAAATGGGAGGCCAGACAGAAACTAGCATCTGCTGGTGAAAAAAGATTCCCCATTATACAAGTTGGTACCTGCTTTCCAAGTGCTGAAGGGACCAAGACTATGAAAGCAAAACAGACTTTTCATTTGTGTCTAGCAGTGACTTCTTGGTCAGGAGATGTCTGGTGTGTAGTCTGTCCCTCTCAGGAGCTATTTTGGTTTTGCTCTTTGTTTGGGGCCTGGCCTCTGCCCAAGGTGTTATAGGAGAGAAGTCAGGTATTACAATGAGCCATGAAGTTCTCAGCAAGACTACACTTTTTATTGCTTTAAACCATTCCCTCTGATTGCCTCTCAACTTGGCCAGAAAAGTAAAAGTATCAGACTTTGGGGTTGGTTTCCCGCCACCCTTCCTTTGGAAGGAAAAGACTTGAGCCAGGAAATCCTTGGCAGAGTTTTCATCAGACAAGGTGCCTCTTTAACTGTAGTTGCCTAAGGGAAGAACGTGGGGGGGAATGCCATTTTCACCTACCCTTATACCTCTGCTGGGCTTAATTTTCCTGTATGCTAAGGTCTGTCACACACACATACCCTTTACACAAACACACAAGCACACACTGACCTTGAGCTTTGGCCAGCAAAGTTTTAATTTGTTGTAACCTTAAACCAGTTACTGGTCTTGTGTGAGAAGGAACTGAAGATCCCATTTTACCAACACATTGGTTGAGACTATATAAAGACTATGAATTATTATTATATCCATGCATTTGTATGACATTTGTACTTTAATTCATCATCCTATCATTCAGTCATTTAGCAAACCCTTATTCCATTTTTTTTTTAACTTCTATGGCATCAGAATTTCTTGAAGTTCTGATTAAAACACAGATTTCCAGGACCCTACTCCGAGTTTTTAATTCAGTAGGTCTGAGGTAGACCCGAGGATTATAGTTCTAGCAAGTTCCTAGTTGATGCTGTGGCCTCTTCTATGCTAAAATCTGTGGGAGAAACGTCAATTTTGCTATCAGGAAGGTAATCAAGCAGAGAGAGGAGATGAGACAAGATGTCCACCTAGTAATGTGAAGTGGAGATGGAATGTATTTGCCAGTTCTACTGTGATCATTCAAAAGCAGTTTGCGGTGGCTGGACTGGATTCCAGGCAGGCTGCATGGAAAAGATTGCATTTAAAGTGGGCCTTAAAGGGTGGATAAGATTAACACACGTGGAGAAGGATATGTGTCTCCATAAGCCAAGGCCCTTTGGGAAAGCAGCACTGTTCTGGAGTTGTGCTGCTCACCTGGGAAGAAAGGGAAGACGGGGAACTTGTGTGGCTAGAACTCTCCCAGTGTCATCTTATTCCACCTGAGGAACAACCCTGCCAGGTATGCATGCCATGCCCATTTCTTGGGGCTGAGGGCATTAAGGAACTGCTCCATTGGTGGCAGCTGAGTAATAGAGTGAACTTCACCCCTCGGCCACTCTTCTAGGGCTTCTCCATCTGCCACCCTGGAAGAAAGATGGGCTCTGGTCGCAGAGGGTCTCAAATGGCTCAATGTGCACATTTAGTTTCCTGGGGACAAGTAGAGCAAAGGAGACCTGGCGAGTCCAGGAATGTCCTCAAAGCCAAAAAGCCTAAGCCAGATCTCCCAGTTCTCATCCCAGCACTCTTTCCACTTACTAAGCTACATTTTCTGGAGAGAAGTCAAAGTTGGAATTTCTCCCCCTGGGAAATTTGGGGGGAATTTCACTCAAGCTTCAGGTTTCCCTGATTTGGGCTTCTGTGAGGAGAAAGGAGTGTTTCTGGACAGTATACTTTCCTGAGGTGACATGAAACAGACTGTTAGCAAATCCAGTCAATACATATTTTTTAAAACAGTCAGTATTGCCCAGCTTGTTTTTCATCTGCTAAATTAAATTTTTTAATTTTTAAAATTGACACATAAAAATTGTACATATTTGTAGGGCACAATGTGGTGTTTCAATACATGTATGAGCCAGTTTTCTTCTTAGTTTGTCTTGAGATGTCATTGCTGAGCTGCGCTGAACAGATTGGCCAGCGGGAAACTGGGACCTCCTTCCAAGCCCCAGTTGGAGCTCAGCTTCCTAGTGGTCTAGGCCTCTGGGCAAAGGCGCGCTGATCAGAGCAGGGGAGCTGCTATCAGCAAGCTGACACAGCACCGTGTTCATGGCAGGGACTCAGTAAATGGGAGTTGCCTGAATTTCCAGTCAGTTTTGCCAAGAACAGAACCTAGAAACAGACTTTGGATGTGTTCCTAACCCATGTTTTTTTGTGGAATATTTTAGCGGGTTACAAGGGAAATTTAAAGGAAATTCTTCCCAACTCTGACTATGCCTGAAACAACAATAATAATAAGCTACAGAACTTAGCGTACATCAGACATAATTCTGAGTACTCTAAGTGGTGGAGACCGTTTCCCCCATTACAGATGAGGGAAGTGAAAACAAAATGACCAACTGCATGAAGCTGGGAAATGATTAGTGTGGACTGGGTTCAATCCCAGGCCACCTGCTGCAGCTTCTTCGGGTTGATAGTCTTGCTTATAGAGCAGCTCACCCGTCTTTCAGATGAAATCGTAAGCCTCCGAAGGCTTCGTTGCCTAAATCGAGGCCTTCTCCACAGAGGGAGTAGCAGGAACTCCTGCTGCTGAGCGCTCTAATGGGTAGGGAAGTGACCCACCATCTCTGGAATGAAAGGGGAGCTGACTGTCAGTATACTTCAGCTCCCTAGCAGGGCCACACGGCTTAGTTCCTACATTGGACTGTGATTGTTTTTAAAAACGTGTTCCATTTTGCTTAGGATGGTAAATGCTCCCCACAGTGAGGTCACAACTTTAAAGGCTGTCATTGTGGAATAGAGTCTGTGGGTAGATGTGTGTTTAGGGGTATGGGAGGAACAATCCTAAATTCCTCTTATGTATGTCTTAAATTAGGTTTTACTTTTGGTTTTTTTATACCAGAGATTGAACCCAGGGGTGCTTAACCATTGAGCCACATCCCCAGCCCTTTTTAACATTTTATTGGAGACAGGGTCTTGCTAAGTTGCTTAAGGCCTTGCTAAGTTTCTGAGGCTGTCATTGAACTTGCAATCCCCCTACCTCAGCCTGGAATTACAGGCATACTCAACTGCACCTGGCCTAGGTTTTACTTTCTAAAACTTTTCTGCCTTGTATTTAAAATCTAGCTAGAAGATTAAAATTTGACTATCTCCATATGGACTAGTTTACATATTCTCCCTTTTGAAGTTGATGCGTTACAACTTTGACTAAAATGACTTTCAAGAGAGTCAGATTTTTGAAGGCCAAATTCAAACACCTGCCTTACTTAAAATCAAATAGGACCAGCTTGTTAGGGGTCTTTTCTGTACCCATACAGACAACTCGCCATACCACTAAACCCATTCTACTCCCAGGTTAGTTTTCTTCCAGTTTTGATCCACATAGAGAATTCCTTGTGGTCTTGTGTTAGAAATGAAAAAAAAAAAATTATGACTCTGTTTGAAACTAATATAACCTCACACAGCTGATATACACTAAGGATAGTTTTTCTTCCCATAATATCAAATGAAAAGAACTAGGCTAGGACTGGAAGTGTAGATCAGTGGTAAGATATGTGCTTAGTTTGCATGAGGTCTTGGGGTTGATCCCCAGCACTGCAAAACAGAACAAAGATGTAGGCTGGTGGAATTTCACTAACCATGGGAGTTTTCTGGTGCCGTATTAGATGTGATGCAGGTAACTTTGCCAAAAGTTTGTGTTTCATTTGTCCTATTTCTCCCCACAGTTGCCTTCTGCTCTCCCTAATTTTTTATTTAAAGAGAAAAAGACTTGTAGGAAGTGGTGACATCTTTCTGGATCAAAGATTCCTTCAAGAATTGATGAATAACTTTAAATTCTCTCCCTCAGAAAACCCTGTACTACAACACACTGGCAGTCAGAGTAGGTTAGGTTTTGCTGTGGGAACAAACATGTCCAAAATTCTAGTGACCTAAAATAATAGATGTGTTTGTCATTCACACTACACATCTGTTGAAGGTTGGATGACATCTTTGTTCCCACTTCAGCATCCCCTGGGACCCAGACTGACTGACCCTGAAGTGACCATCTGGAATGCTGCCAATTGCCACAGCATAGGAAACTAGACTAGTGGAGGGTCCTACATATGTAAGAATTGTTCTGGTCTCTCAATGACAAGTCACTTCTAATCTCAATGCAGTATTTAGAACTAGTCCCAAAGTCTCAGCCAATCAAAAAGGGGCCAGGAAGTTTAAGCCTACTTAATGCCCAGAATAGGTAAAACAAGGAATATTTGACAAACACGAAAACCAGTGTGTGGGTTAAAAACAAGTTTTAAAGTTGGTTTTCATTGTACATGCCTGTAATCCCAGCTGAATCCCAGACTGAAGCAGGAGGATGGCAAGTTTGAAGTCAGTCTGGGCATAGCTCAGTGGTAGAGCACTTGTTTAGCCTGCAGGAGGCCCCCCAGCACTGCAAAAAAAAAAAAAAAAAAGTTATGAAAACTGAGAAATAATGTCTTAGAGCGTGTGTATTGCAGTATAAAACTTAGAAGTTGGTTCACCTTTAGGTAAGGAACTACTGAAAAAATGACTTTGTGGGGTAAAAAATAGATACTGATTAGCTTATGGGAGAAACTACTTTATTTTCATTCATTCATTCATTCATTTATTGTTTTAGACCAGGTCTCACTATGTTGCCCAGATTGCCCTGACTGGTCTCAAACTCTTGAGCTCAAGTGATACTTCTCTCTCAGCCGTCCCAAAAGTAGCTGGGACTACAGGCACACACCACCACACCTGACTAGAATGTAATTATTTTTTCCCCCAGTACTGGGGCTTGAACACAGGAGCACCCTACCACTGTGCTCAGTCCCCAGCACTTTTCAGTTTTTATTTTCACTAAGTTGCAAGACTGGCCTCAAACTGAGATCCTACTACCTTAGCCTCCGAAGCTACTATTATGTGTGTTTACCATCATGCCAACCCTAGAGTGGCTGTATAGTCCTAACTATTTGGGAGACTGAGGTGGGAGATCATTTGACTTCATGACTTTGAGACCAGCCTGGGCAACATGCTGAGACCCCCATCTGAAAAGAAAAAAAATTTACAAAGTAACCCAGAAGTGTAGGGATTGTGAGGTGATGTAGGTAATATACAACAGCAGTTAGTCCTACTTTTTTAAAGCAAAAATTGGTTCATTATATGATTGAATTAAAATAACATCTATAACAATAAAAAAAGATAAATGGAGACTTGGCATATAAGAATATTTGTGTACATCATATTTTAATTTAAATCTATGATCATTCTGTATCTAGGACTTCATTGGTCTTATTAAAACAGTAAGTCTCCTTACACAGTGACACATACCTATAATCCTAGCAACTTGGGAGGCTGAGGCAGGAGGATCACAAGTTCGAGACCAGCCTCAGCAATTTAGTAAGGCCCTAAGCAAGATAGCATGATCCTGTCTCAAAAATAAAAAGGGCTAGTGATGTAGCCCAGTGGTAAAGTACCACTGAGTTCAATCCCTAGTTACGAAAATAATAACTGTACCACCACTCAGTTAATCCCAAATTTTCAATTGTGTGAATGTTTCAACAAAATTGACACAGGTGCATTAAAATAGGTTGGAAATCATAATCCAAAATTTATAAATATTACTATATAATTATATGTACTATATTTAAGTGTTTATATGTGTCCCACATTTGAAATGGTGGGACAAAATGCCTTAAATCAATGAGAATCAAGTTGTGATCATACTTTATATTGTTTTATAATCTGTATTTTTAATTTAATATCAAACTTTTTATATGTCAAAAATAATATTCTACACATCATTTAAAAATTATTCCTATTATTTCATTGTATTACCTCATTACCAGAGGAACTGAAAGACCTATCTAAAATAACTTATTACATTTAAAAATAAATTAAAATCCAGTTGGGTATGGATGGCACTTGCCTATAATCCCAGAAGATAGGAGGCTGAGGCAGGAAGATCACAAGTTCAAAGCTAGCCTCATCACTCAGCCATAAGCAATTTAGTGGGACCCTTCTAAAAATACAAGGGCTGGGGATGTGGCTCAAGCGGTAGCACGCTCGCCTGGCATGCGTGCGGCCCGGGTTCGATCCTCAGCACCACATACAAACAAAGATGTTGTGTCCACTGAAAACTAAAAAAATAAAATAAATATTTAAAAAAAAAATACAAAACAAAAAAGGTTTGGGGATATAGCTTAATGGTAAAGTGCCTCTGGGTTAATCTCTAGAACCAAATAATAATAATAAAAGCCAGTAAAAATAAAACTAGAGATAATTTTAAAATCTGATTTATTCCTGGTTTCATAGTTTGGAGTTTGTGGAGACAGCATAGTGAGAAAGTGGGGCTGTGGGCCTTCTCCTGTTCCTCCTCCCCTCCCTGGAGTAGGAGGAAGGGAGGTCTGCTGATGGCCCTTAGTCTAGTGCAGCCACAGACTGAAGGGGAGGTGGTCCATGCTGGCAGTGGGAGATGGAATTGTACTGGATTAGAGGGAGAGTGCAGGAAATCATTTACACTCTCTAGGGAAGAGATTGACTTGAGGCAATTAGAATTTTCCACTTCCAACTTCAGGGATTCTGCATTACAGAGACTTACACCATAGAGAAAAAGCCCTGGTCTTTTCCACGATGTTGAGAGAACCCGAAGAATTTCTTTATCAGGAGTCCCTCCAAAGCCCCTTGCAATTGCTAATCTGAGTTGGGTTGGGGAGGGGAGAGGGGCACCAAGAAAGCAATGCGTTTTCTCTAAGATCCCTTAAAAGAGGAAAAGGACACTGTCCTAAAAGATGAACATTTTTAGTGCCTGCAAAACCTAAAACATGGGACTAATCAGTGGTTCTAGAGAGACACCCTGGCACTCCTCCCTTCCCCCAGGGTCCCCAAGGCACCCTGGAGTGAGAGACCTCCTGTGCTATCAGCATTTTCACATCGCTTCTCTGTGCATCTTTTGCTCTGGTACAAACTTGGTTTTTCTCTTTCTTCTTCTTCTTCTTCTTTTTTTTTTTTTTTGGTACTGGGGGTTGAACCCAAGGTTGTTCTACAGCCATGTTACTTCCCCAGCTCTTTTTATTTTAAATTTTGAGACAGGGTCTCACTAACTTGCCCAGTCTAGGCTCAAACTTGTGATCCTCCTGCCTCAGCCTCCCAAATAACTGGGATTACAAGTGTGTGCCTCCACACGTGGTTTGGCAGAAACATTTATGAACATAGCTTAAACATAAAGTAATGGGATGAGGTCTAACAGTGCCAGCTTTAACCATGTGGGCATTGTCCAGGGACCTCCTTGTTTGAGAGTTGCCCCCTCTGGCTGGTACTCACCATGCGTACTTGCCTCTCTGTCTCACCCTTCCAACTCCCCAGGGTTCTGGCTAGTGTGGACCATCATCATCATCCTGAGCTGCTGCTGTGTCTGCCACCACCGCCGAGCCAAGCACCGCCTTCAGGCCCAGCAGCGGCAGCATGAAATCAACCTGATTGCCTACCGGGAAGCCCACAATTACTCAGCGCTGCCATTTTATTTCAGTATGTATCCAAAACTGTCATTCCCAACCCTCAGAAGCTCAGGAGCACAGAGTCAGGGCATCTGTGGGCACAAGGGGATTTGCCCCCATTTACCCTACATAGAATCTTGCAAATACAGGAACAGGGGTCTCCTTCAGCACAGAGGAGCAGGTATTCCGGCTGTGGGTCCCTAAAGCCTCAGGTCTGTTCTAGAGCTCACAGTGCCTGGGTTCTTGCCAGAAAAAAATAAAATAAAAATTTAAAGCAAATAGTCAGATGGAATATAATGTGAGTGAATTGGAATTTGGTGTTCATTGGCCTGAATTCCTCCCATTTTGCTTGCTGCTATGTGATGTGCCTCATAGAGGGGATGCCCATCAAAGGGGCAGATATTGGTGTTGGGGGGCGCTGGGACTTCCTGAGAACCAAGAAACTTGGTGAATCCCTGCCTGAACTTCCCTGAGGTTCTTTACGTGTGACCTCTCAAATGGTCCATGGAGGCCCAGTTGGGCAGCTTGTCCCAAGCCGTTGTGAAGTGCATTCTACAAAATAAAAGAGTCAGAACTGTTTGTTTTCCACATCTAGAAGAGTTAATTGCTTAGCACAGTGCCTGGCATATGTAAGTGCTCAATAAATGCTAGCAAGTACTATTATGTCATCTGTGCCTTAAGATGTTCAGCACATTCAAAAGGTAACTTACCTGGCATGTTTTCAATGAGCCTTGGATGACACAGGCCCCTTGTCCTTTGCTGGTAACCACTGTTCTTGCTTTGAGTCAAGATGCAGCTTAGTTTATCTTTCCAGCCACACTAGAGTAAGATAGACAACAGATTCCTAACTTCCCAGAGAAAAGCCCTGTATATACTATACCTAGAAGAATGGAAAAAGAGATAAGTGGTCAGGATCTTAAATTAGGATCCCTGACCCTGAGGCCTGAGGATAGATGGAGGATACAGTCTGAGCAAAGAATATGAGACTGTGTGCCCATGGTCCTTTCCAGGCAGAAATTGGTTCTTAGTCATCTACCACATTTGCCTAACCTTTTGCCTTAATTCCAGGTAGGCAGGAAGTCCTTGCTTATGAAGCAGCACTAGGGACTCTTAGATGCCAAGAAGCTGGAGTAGGTCAACCCAAACTGTCCCTCTTTCACTGCACATTTGCTCACAGCTCTCTTCCCCTGCCCACGACGAAGAGCCAAAGCTACTGCTTAGTGGCTCTGCTAGAGGGGTGGTAAGGGACAATGCATATGTTTGGTATGAGTTTTGCCATCTGTCCTATGACAGTGGCCAGTGCAGTAATTTTTCCTCCCTACCTCCCCATTTTTAGGGTTTTTGCCAAACTATTTACTACCTCCTTATGAGGAAGTGGTGAACCGACCTCCAACTCCTCCCCCGCCGTACAGTGCCTTCCAGCTACAGCAGCAGCAGCAGCTGCCTCCTCAGTGTGGCCCTGCAGGTGGCAGCCCTCCGGGTGCTGATCCTACCAGGGGCTCCCAGGGGGCACAGAGCAGCCCCTTGTCTGTGCCCAGCAGAAGCAGCACAAGACCCCCAAGCATCGCTGATCCTGAGCCCTCTGACGTGCCAGCTGACCGAGCAGCCACCAAAGCCCCCGGAATGGAGCCCAGTGGCTCAGTGGCCGGCCTGGGGGAGCTAGACCCAGCGGCCTTCCTGGACAAGGATTCAGAATGTAAGGAGGAGCTACTGAAAGATTCCAGCTCTGAGCATGGCAGTGTGCTCCCCGATAGCAAAGACAAGACACCTGGCAGACATCGCCGCTTCACAGGTGACTCGGGCATTGAGGTGTGTGTGTGCAACCGGGGCCATCATGACGATGACCTCAAAGAGTTCACCACACTCATTGATGATGCTCTGGATGGGCCCCTGGACTTCTGTGACAGCTGCCACGTGAGGCCTCCTGGTGATGAGGAGGAAGGGCTCTGCCAGCCCTCTGAGGAGCAGGCTCGAGAGCCTGGACATTCCCACCTGCCTCGGCCGCCCGCATGCCTGCTGCTCAACACCATCAATGAGCAGGACTCGCCAAACTCCCAGAGCAGCAGCTCCCCCAGCTAGAATAGGCCCTGCCTGTGCCCAGAAACTTGGCAAAGCAACCAGGGTAAGGGAGACTCACGAGAGAAGCATTAAGTGACTTTCAGAGGAAGTGGTACAGCCACTTTTTTTTTCCCCTTCTCCTCTCCTGCTTTTTCCTACATCTCCAAGTACAGTTTGGGGTGTGGGTGCCTCTCCCTCACAAAAGCACAGTATTGTGGAGGGCTGAGAAGTTGGTTCCATGACTCATTCCTCATCCCCACCTCATCCCCTTCTTCCCCCCTTTCAAGTCATATCTCACCTACCTGCTTTGGTCAGAGAGATGTGTTTTAAAGCCCCCAAAGAAGGGGACTAAGACTGTGTCCTGTGATGATTCTTGGTGATGTAGTGGATTTATGCTCTGGTTTTAGTTTAAGAGAACTTTGTTGTGTCTCAGTTCAGCAGAAGCAACCCTTCTTAGCCCTGGTTGAAGAAGGAAGCCACAGAGGCCTAGGGTTTGTCAGCTGTGGCTGCCAGTGTCTGCACAGCCAGAGTTGAGCTGATTCTGTGGGAGGATGAGAGCTGGTAGACAGGTTGGTAGGAGGCTTGTTGATCTCTCAAATTCCAGGTGACAAGAAAATGTACCACTGTGCATCCTGGAGGGGCCCCTTCCTTCCCAGCAGGCTCAGGTGTGGAAGAGTAGACTGCCTTTTTTTTGGTTTTAACAACAAAAGCCAGCTAGAAACAAGAAATTTACCAGTGGGCTTGCAAGAATTCTCTTCTGGACAAGGGAAGTTTGTGCTTTCCCAGGTTGGCCTACCACGAACGTGGCTGCAGTTGAGCCAGAGGGAGATGTTTGTGTGTGGGCTTGGAGTGGGTTAGCTCTGAGCAGTAGGCCCTAAATCTGGGAGTGGAGAGAAGTGCAGCTTCCTGCATCTCTGCCCTTTGGTCTGTGCCCACAGGTGACCAGTGTCCTTGTCCATCCCTAGCACATGGTCTGCAGGACTTTGTATCTCCTTGTACTCTTATGAACAGAGGGTCTGAGGAAGCTGTGGGTCCTGGGAAAGGCAGCCCCGTAGTCTGGTTCTCACACAGTATTTTTTCTTTGATTCTGAATAAGTCTCTTGTTGTTGTGTGTTTGATTGTTTGTTTTAAACTGACCACTTGGAAGAAATCCCTTGGTTATCTGTGGTTCTCATGCTCTGTCCCTGTCCCTAGCCCACTGGGGTCGGGTGACTCACTTTTCTGTAACTTATGTAAGGAGTTTTGGTGGCCCAGGTGGGAGGGTGGAGGCAGCCTCCAGAAGGACCACAGGATCCTTATTACTGTCGTCTGGTTTTGGACAACCAGTTGAGCTTTGATAGGAAAACTCTGAAAGGAGAAAGCAATCAGCTGAAACTAACATTCCCCATCCATCCCTGTTCATATGAAAAGTTTGGTTCTTCTCCCACTTTTGAATGATGATATTCAGGCTAGGCATTGATGTTATAGTAAAAAAGGAAAAAAAAAATATATATATATATATATAAACAGACAAATCCAAGGCTGTGAGGTGAATGAGTGTCTGTTTGGATTACACAGAACCAAAATTCATGTCGAACAAAGTGAAGTCTGTAGACGATGACTTTGAATGATCTGTTGTGTGTGTGTGTGTGTCGTGTGTGAGCCCCACACCCCGTGTTCCTGTGAAGATACTTTGAATGGCAGCCAACCTGCTCACGTTAACCACACGTCTGAAGCAAATATGGCCCTCTCAAGGTAATTTATTTTATGCATTTACTGTTTACTGAACAAACGTCTGACTGTGTACTTGAGTGTATTTGGCAGCATTGTCGACGGCGCCCCCCTGTGTTTGCCTGAGATACTGCGCTCAAGGTAGAGGTTCCACTCTGCTCATCACTGCAATTTGCACATTGCTCCGTGGACGCTCAGAGGCCTGTGTTCTGTCCCTGTTAATGGAAGCGTGCTCTGAACCTGTCTGCCTCCCTCCGCTACTCATTGCCTTCGATCTCAGCCCCCAGAAGGTGTCCACAACCACTTGGGACAGAAGGCAAAAGTGGAATTCAGACAGAAGCTTGATTGGCTCTTCAGTGACAAGCTTGGCCTTGCTGTGGCCCAGACATCAGCCTGCTCAGAATTGCCAGGAGGCTTTGGCAGACTCATGGTGCCACAGCACAATCCTTCCTTTGCTGAGTTCAGTGGACACAGGCGGACTGGCGTGTGGCCAGAGGGGTGCCACAGCACAGCAGTCCTCAGATGCCTACCTTCCACCTTCCTTTCGAAATCACAGACAACTCACTGAAGTGTCTCCAAGGAGAACAAGTTTTACCAAAAGGAATCCTTCTTCATTTAACTGATCAAATGGATGAATCTGACCCTCTAAGTTTCTTTCCCCAGCGGGGAGCTGGTCTGAGTGTTGACTGTTGGCTTCACTGAAGCATCTTACCCTGAAGGCCTGAGAAGAAGCACAGTGGCCAAGCTGGGCTTAACTAGTAAGCCGCAGTTGGCCACGGCTGCTGGAGGCTTCCTGCTCAGAGAAGGAGACAGGGAACTGAAGGAATAGTCGGGGGTCAGAGAGACTAGGTTGAGTCTGGTTTTCCAGATGAATGAGAAGGAAAGGATTGGTGGAGGGTTTGGTGCTACAGTCGGAAGATTTGCAAATGCTAACACATTCCTGTGTGAGGCACATCACCATTTGTCAGTTATTGTGAATATGTGTATTTTAAGCAATAAGATTCAGCTGGTCAGATTTTTCTGGGCAGTCTCAGTGACGCATTTCCTGTGCTGTGATTGTTCTGAAGACAGAGTGGCTCTAACCACTGTGAGAAGCCCAAATAAAAATTCATCCCAAAAGTTTTTCTGTGCTTTTTTCTTGCACCACTTTGTTCCTTTTTCCTCTTCCTCAGTCAGGGAGTCATACCTTAAGATCTCAAACACAAGCACTTTTTCCTTCACACAGGGACTGAGCAGTGTCACGTAGCAGTTGAGAACAGGATCCTGGGCCAAACTGAAACCACAAGGCCAAGGGCAGGCTGGAAGCTGCTGCTGAGTCCACATTTTATCCTCAGCGGTTTTCCCCCAAACTCTGTTTCTCCTTTTGATGTCTGGAATACTTTGTGAAGCCCCACAGATAGGTTAAAATTAGACCCCAAAAAGCAGGAACAAGTTTTGTTAGATACCCCGTAACTAAAGATGACATTTAAAAGGCAGCAAGCATTCCAAGGTCTCTTTTACTGATGGACAGAAAGAAATGTGGGTGGGTGCTCAGTCTTGGAATTTTAATGTACAAAATATTAGAGCTGGGCACAGTGGTACATACCTATAATCCCAGTGACTTGGGAGGCTGAGATAGGAGGATTGTAACTTTGAAGCCAACCTCAGCAACTTAGTAAGACGCTAAGCAACTTAATGAGACCCTGCATGAAAATCAAAAGAGCTGCAGATGTAGATCAGTGGTAAAGTGGCCCTGGGTTCAATCCCTAGTACCGAAAAAGTATGTGTTTGTGTATATGTGTATGTATTAGCCACTTTGTGCCCAGCATTGTGCTGAAAGCTAAGGAAATACAAATATATAAGACATGCCTCCTGCCCCTTAGAACTTCAATTACAGTTAGGAAGACAAATAGATCCATGTGAGATAGAAGCCACAGAAAGTAGGCTGAGGTGGAGAGAGTGGTGCATGTTCCAAGATGCCAGCAGCAGTCAGAGATGGTCTGAGGTCTTGAATGCCAAGCAGGGAGCCTCAGAACTGAGCTTTAGGCAGCTGGGGAGCCCCAGTGTGCCAGCATTTGTCCTTGTGTGCCAGTGTTTCCCTAAGGCAGACTTCCTTTGTTCATTTTAGCCTTTGCTTATTAAGATCCCTCTTAGCTGGGTGCAACTGTGCATGCCCCTAATCCCGGTGGCTCAGGAGGCCAAGGCAGGAAGATCACAAGGTTGAAGTTAGCTGCAGCAACTTAACTGGCTCAAAATTTTTTAAAACTGTAAAGAATCAGGGAAGTGGCTCAGTGATAGAGTGCCCCTGGGTTCTGCCACCAGTACATGTGTATCATTCCTGCCTTTTAAAAGGTAACACCTGCATGGTCCCAAACCAAATGGCACTTTTATGGGCTGGTCACAAGAGGCTGTGATGAGCCCCGAGGTCACTGGGTTCCTCGTTTCTCTAATGAGATCTGACAGCTGGTTGTCTCGGTCCCAAATGACCATGTTCAGCACAAGACAATAGTTATGACAAACAAGAATTTCAAGAAACTCCCCATTCTCCAACTTCCTGTTTTCAGCTAGTGAACAAAAACCAGGGCTTGACTCAGGAGGAGGGGGAAGTGGGCGTGGCTGACCGTTGGCTGGCTCCTTCTGAACCTGTTGTGAAGGGTTGTGGGTCTTGGGAGGTATTCAGTTTCAGGTTCCAGCCTGGGGGCAAGTGACTGGCCTTATTGAAGAGGTAAAGCCTTTATGGAGCACTTACCAGGTGCCAGGAATTGGGAATGCTGACACCTTAGGCCTGCCTCTTCAGAAGTAGTAGTGACCCAGAGAGGAAGAAAGGCACATCAGCAGTGTTAGAGCCACAGGCAGTGGCCCAAAGCATGTGTGCACAGAATGCTGTGGGTGAGAACTTACCCACATGGGGTTTCAAGGCAGGCTTCCTGGAGGAGGTGACTGCTCCCCGGGTGAAAGGTGCAAAAGGCACATGTTTGTCCTGGAGATTATTGAGTGCCACTATGGGCAAGATGCTGAAAAGCACAAAACAGCTTGGGAGGACTAAATCAGGAGACAACACGTGTTGAGTGGGAAACAACAAACAATTTAATCTTTCTAGGTGACTGCACTCTAGAAAGTGCAAGAAGTGACACTGGAAAGAGGTAAGCAGGTAATAAAAAGACTTTAGTTTGTCTTTTTTGTGTTCCTTATTGACAGTTTACACAATGCCAAGTCTTGTCTAAGCATCTCAGTACCTACATTTTCTTATTTTAGCCTCAAAACAGATCTCTGAGGCAGAGCCTTATAATTATTGCTACAATGGTAAAGAGATTGAGGCACTCAGAGGAGTGAATTGACTTCCAGGATCACAGAGCTAATAAGCAGCAGAGCCAGGATTTGAAGCCACATCTTTTGGCCCCAAAGGCCATTAACTAATATGTCAGACAGTGAAGAGCTGAGAACTTGGGACTCCTTTTCAAAGGTGGGAGGAAACCAAAGAAAGCTGTCAAATCTTAAAGGAGTTAAAGCTGTTTGGATCTTTGTATCTTGAAAGTGTTCTGCTCTTCCTCAAAGGGAATAAAAATACAGCTTCCAAAATTTGTGAGGGGGAGCAGATTTTATTTGATCTGAAATTTCTCACTGTTTAAAGCCTGTTCCTCACCATAGTTTAATATTCCTTCCATTTCATGTTTTCTCACAAAGACTCAAGAAACCCAATCCCACTGGAAAATGTTACAAAACACCCTCTGTGCTAGCCATGAAAAGAGTCTGTCCCTGGGCTCTCCACCCACCTCCCAGCTGTCAGCATGCCCTGACTCTGGGTGGAGGCAGGCCAGGGCTGCGGGTGGCTTCCCGGATGTCTTGCCCAAGATGGACCTATATGCACATACCTGCTCCCTCTCCTGCCCTAGCTGATAGCTTTCAGGAGTTCTATGTAAAATCTTCAGAAAAATTATTTTGTGAATTTGGATGATTAATTTAAATGATGAGGCCAGTGTTTATTGAGGCAAAAAAGTATTCGTAGGTTCATATTTGATCCTCAGAGCAACAGTGAGGTTGGTGTACACACGCCTCAGCCCCCATATTACAGATGGGCAAATGGAGATTTAAGAAGGCCAAATCAGTTGCCCATGGGCACTTAGTAAGTGACCACCCCCTGGAGAATTTGTCTCTATAGCCCCGACTCATAACACAAGGGATTTTTCTGCTCACACAGCCCTTTCTGTTTCATCCTCACCAGAGCTTCAGACAATGGGCAGCTCAGGTGGTAAGTGACCCCGTGTCACAAAGAAGAACCTGAGGTTCCCAAAGTTGGCAACAGGCCTAAGATCCAGGGCCAAGATGGGTGGCTGGGAGCCTAGTACCTGGGAATTCTGGGTCCCCCTTATCCTGTGGTCTTCCCCCCAATTCTGGTGCCTTGGACTGGACCCTGGTCCTCCAGATGTGGGCGTGTATCTGTGTGTATAACTGTAGAGGGACTTCCCCTGCTTCAGGTTTTGTGGCCACCAGAAGCCACTGGGACATTCACTCCCTCTGACCCACCCACACTCACACGAGGTTACTGGGCAAGAGACTCTGAGAAGTCCCCTGATTTTCTGAAGGTCAGAACCCTAGGAAGGTTGGCTCTTCTAGCTCACTAGGGCTGATCAGTAAATATTTTAAAATTTTGTGAGCTTCTTATTAAATGGCCAATAAAAATAAACTACATAAACCCACAATATATATTGTGGGTTTGAATATATTAAAAACAAAGGTGGGGCTGGGGATGTGGCTCACGTGGTAGCGCGCTCGCCTGGTATGCATGCGGCCTGGGTTTGATCCTCAGCACCACATACAAAAAAAGATGTTGTGTCCGCCAAGAACTAAAAATAAATATTAAAAAAAAATTCTTTCTAAAAAAAAAAAAAAACAAAGGTGATAAATACACAAAGTGGATCACTTTCCAATTATTTACTACATGTTATTATCCATACCCTTCAAGGTATTTATAAATCAGCATGGTAGGAATATCACATGATGGCATTTAGTGTATGAGGTCATGTACCAATACCATTTGGATCAACCACAGAACACATATGTGATAGTGGTCCCATAAGATTATAAAGGGGCTGCTCATTGCTACCTCCTAGTGGTATTGTAGCCATAATAACGTCTGGTGCAGTGTGTTTCTCATGTTTGTGGTGATGCTGGTGAAAACAACCCCTTTTAGGTATATTTAGATACAAAAATATCATTGTATGTGTTGTCTACAGTATTCAGTACAGTAACGCTGTACAGGTTTAAGCCTCGCTGGCTGTAGGCTGCATCCCCTAGGTTTGTGTAAATACATTCTATGATATTTGTGTTAGGAAACTGTGTAGGGACACATTTCTCAGGATGAGTCCCATGTATGACTACAGCAGTAAATAACATATAATGTTTAAAAAAAAAAATGAAAGGCTACCTAGCATCTCTTCCAAACTCTATTTTCAGTGACATTACATTGGTAGCTCTTGGCAAACACTACAAATCAGGGGTGCTCTCCCTGCTGAGTTGGTTTTGAAACATTTATTTAAAAACCCACTACTGGGGCTGGGGTTGTTGTAGCTCAGTGGTAGAGCTCTTGCCTCACACATGTGAGGCACTGGATTCGATCCTCAGCATGACATGAAAAATGAAATAAAGGTAGCGTGTTCATCTACAACTAAAAATATTTTTTTAAAAACTCACTACTAGTTGAGAACAATCTGAAGCTGAAAAGGTGACTGTGGGGTCTTGGCAAGGACTTTCCAGCTTCCTTCTGCATAAGGGGGTAGAGTTGATTGATTTCTCACTGAGCCAAGGCACCTGGTTGAATCCTTTCCTGTGTCCAACCTACTTGTCAGGTGCTGAGATGCTGGATAAAGAACGTGAGAAAGCTCAGTCTCGAACTCCAGAGATAGAGGGGGGCTGCGTCCCTGGGGGATACCACACCCATTTCAAGCCCAGGCAGATGCTCAGATGCATCTGGGGTTCAGCACTAAGTGATAGAAGTTGGGACTAAAAGGGGACACTTGTGGTGGGTCGGGAGTCACGAGACAGCTTGGAGGAAGGCATTTACTCTGAGCCTCTAGGGGGTTCAAGGATACAGTGATATAGATAAATGAGGAAAAGGCCTTTCATCCAGGGGAGGGGCAGTTTGG